TCTTGTGAGTTAGGATTCGGAGGGAGGCAGTGGTTACTATTTGCCATGGAAACTAAGGAATAAAAGGTCTGTAATTTCCTGGTATGGTGATGCATACCTATAATCCTAACACTCAGGAGGCTGAGGCAGAAGGATCATAAGTTCCAGCACAACCTAGACTACATAATAAAATTCTGTCTAAAACAAAACAACAACAACAACAACAAAAGTTCTGTAATTGTTTCTTTAGACTGGATAGCAAGAGCAGAGTAACTGCCCCAATTCCTGAATGCATGGCTTTGTTGGACCAGGCTAGACTTGTTGATCTGGTGGATGTGGCTCCTTGTTTGGCACCTGTACTCCCTGGATCTAGAATCCTCTTTTCCTGGGTATCAACATCGTTTAATGTCTCTTGTCCTTCGCTATTTCCTTTAAATGACAACTTATCAGTAGACTTCCTACCCACCCCTATATTTAAAATCTCTTATCTACCTCTACTTTTTTTGTGATAGTCTTGGGCCTGGATGCTATCCACCTGATGCTCTACCACGTGAGTCACAGCTCCACTTCCAACTTTTTTTGGTGGTTAATTGGAGATGAGTCTCACAGGCTTTCCTGTCATAATACTCAGATCTCAGCATCCTGAGTAGCTAAGATTACAGTTGTAAGCCACGGGAACCTGGCACTTCATCTACTTTTTAATCTATATTATGGTTACAATCTTAAACCTTGCTTCTTGTTCTCTCCCACGCTAGAAGTGAACTCCAGAAGGGAGAGAGTTGTTGCTTGCATTCTGCACAGTTTTCGCAGGACTTATGAACTTGGCATTCAGTAGGCAGGAAGGGGCTGAGGGGCAGCTCCCTCCAAGAAATTTGCCTGTCAGTCAGAGAAGGCTTCTTGGAAGAGGCTCAGTCATGTACCTGCAACTCTGCTGTACCTGAAGACATCCCTGAAAGAATGGGTCAGGTTGGGGGTGGTATACACATATGACAGTGTGTGGAGACTATGTGGAAATGGGTTGGACTAGTAATGGGGATGTAGGTATGGGAGTGACTATAGGAGGAACCATACTGCTCAGGAGAGACAAGGAAAAGACGGCTGGCTGTTGAGGTAGGAGCAGGGCCAAAGCCTAGTTTAGCCCCTCAGCGTCATGTTGGCTTCCAGCAGGTGGCCTTAGTGTGACTAGCTCTGGGATATGGCCAGATCCTCCCAAGCAGAGTCCCTTGAGGGGTCAAGCATCTCCGAGGACGTGGGGGGCCAAACTTCAGGCATTTCCCCTCCTGAACCAAAGGAATGCCGGAGAAGACCCAAGAACAATGAGGAGCTGACAGTCCTTCAGAGAGCCTGTGAGTTGGCCCTAGAGGGGGAGTACACAGCTGCCTGCCAGAACCTGAGGTAGGGGAGAGGGGTTGGCAGGGATACAGAGAAGCTATGGAATCCTGGAAGGAAGAAGGCGGAAGCAGCTGGGGATGACATGGACAGGCATTTCCCGCCTCAGGATGCCCTCCTGCCTTCTTCACTGCCGTTGCAGCTGCAAGAGCAAAAGCTGTAGCTTCCCTCTGGCCCCAAAGACTGTTCTAGAGCACAGGGATGATAAGGCCCTAGTGAACTCCCTGCAAGCTCAGCCATTCTTATCACCCCAGAGGCTGAGCAGGCAATGTGCTCAACCAGCACCAGAGTACCTGTAGGCCTAGGAAAGCCAGGGGACAGCAAGGGGATTGGCTCCAGCTCTCTCCATGCCTTTGCCTAAAGAGTCTGTGAGTGTATTAGGGGATTTTATAAGCAGTCATAGGCTCTTGGTAATTCAAAGGCTCTCAGTTCAAAGAATCTCTCATTTTTCCCAACTGGATACCCCATTCTAGCACTCTGCAATGTCTTATCTGCACTGTAAACCACCCTAAGACTGCTCCTGTTGACAAACTTGGGGTGTGATCATCACTCCATTCAATTTGTAGTGATCAGGGCCCCAATGCTTAGTGATCCTTAATGACTACTAAAGTTCAGCAGAGGGAAGCTAAGCTAAGATCCTTCTAATTCCCAGCACTGAAGTTGTAGGGACTCTCTACCCACCCATCCCTTTTCTCCTCCTTTGAAGAAGTTCTGCTTGAGTACAAATCACCTTCTTCTAAGGGTAAATCAAACTCCATCTTTATCTATAGTAAAGACAATGCCGAATGCAACCTCATTTGTAAGGCAAAATCATATATTTGCAAATACTGGTGCTTTATATCAGTGATACACCTAGTAACTGAACTGATCTGTCTTAACCTTGTTGTTCACAGAAAAGGCCTCATCTAGTCTGCTCAAAGTTGTCTTTCTTTCTTTCTTTTTTTTTTTTTTTTTTTGAATGACCTTCCTAGGACAGGACTGTTAGTCAGCTTTCTGTTACTATAACAAATACCTGAGATCATCAACTTATAAAGGGAAGAGGTTTATTTTGGCACACAGTTTTGGATGCTTCAGTACATGAATACTTTGGATCTGTGGGGAGGATGCACATTGTGGTGGGAGTACATGGTAGAAGAAAACCATTTACTTCATGGTGGGAGGTGAAAGATAGCAAGAGAAAGAGATTGGGGTCCCATAATCCCCTTCAAGGACAGTGCTTCAATGACCTAACTTTTTTTGGGGGGGTTCTGGTTGTGGGGCCTGAACTCTGGGCCTGGGCACTGTCCCTCAGCTCTTCAGCTCAAGGCTAGCGCTCTACCATTTGAGCCACAGCACCACTTTCAGCTTTTTTCTTTTTGCTTATGTGATGCTGAGGAATCGAACCCAGGGCCTCAGGCATGCAAGGCAAGCGCTCTACCACTGAGCCACCTTCCCACCCCCTAACTTTCTTTTACTTAATTTCAACTCCTAAAGGTACCACCATCTCCCTACGGTGTCACAATGGAGGTCAAATCTTTGATGTATCAAGCTTTAAGGGAATACTTAAGACTTATCCTATATCAGGAAGCCCTTATACAGATGCCTCTGCCAAGGTGGTATGGTGCTGACTGCAGGTGTGGATGGCAGTAAACAGCAATAGAAACAATGCTGCTGGTTTCAAAGTCCTTGGAGCTGGGGAAAGCAGCCTGCTCACCACCCTCTAGATACCCACCCAACAATGGGAAGAGATCTAGATCAAGCAAGCTGAATGTTCCAGTTCCACTAGGGCTGTAGTATCTCATGACTAACAACAAGGATACAATACACCTTAGGAGATGCAGACACACAGGAGCATGGTGCCTGAGTCTGTTTTTATTACCATAACAAAATACCACAGGCTGGGTAATTTATAAAGGCAAGAATTATTATTTGGCTCATGGTTCTGAAGGCTAGGGAGTCGAAGGGCATGGTGACAGTGTCTGGTAAGCGCTTGAGAACTGTAGTGCACCAGTACTAATGTGTAGTAATGTGTCCTCAAGTGAAAGGCATCACATGGTTAGATGGCAAGTGAGAACATGCACAAGAATCCACTCTGTCAAGAAAGAGAACACTCCTAAAAGAGCTAACACACCTCCATGAGAAGGCTTTCATCCATGCACAGGGGAAGAAGCCTTCCCATTTAAACATTCCCCATTAGACCCCACTTGCCAACACTGCCACTCTAAATTAAAAGTTCCAACAGATGACCTTGGAAACCACAGTAGAAGGCAAGGTGCTTAGACCTCATTTAAACCCCAATTGTTCGGAAGCATCACTACCAATCATAGGTGGTTATGGAGCACTGAAAACATGGCCACTGCACACTGGAATCTGAAAAAAATAATATAAAATATATCATTAATATTTTCATATTAATTACATATTACGGTGATAAGATGTGGTTATAGCAAGTTAATAAAATACACTGTGAAGTATATGAAACTATAAAGGAGCAAGAGAAATTTGTTTTTAAACTTTGTTTTTGGGTCCGGTTGTGGAGCCTGAACTCTGGGCCTGGGCGCTGTCCCTCAGCTCTTCAGCTCAAGGCTAGCGCTCTACCACTTGAGCCACAGCGCCACTTCCGGCTTTTTCTTTTTGCTTATGTGGTGCTGAGGAATCGAGCCCAGGGCCTCACACATGCAAGGCAAGCGCTCTACCACTGAGTCACCTTCCCAGCCCGAGCAAGAGAAATTTTAAGAGAGGCAATTTCCAACTGGCTATATTAGGGGGCCAGCATCAGTGAGATAGGGAAGGGCAAATGGAGAAGGTGAAGGAGGGGGAATGCGGTCAAAGTACGCATGATGAAAATAGAACAATGAAACCTGTTGAAATTGTTTTAAGAAGCAGGAGAGAAGCTGTGACTCACACTTGCAATCCTAACTATTCAGGTAGCTGAAATCCAGAAAATGGCAGTTCAAGGCCATCCCTCCAGAGCATTCTGCAAGCCTCGAAAGAATGACCAGCAAGAAGTCAGGCTGGACGTATGGCTCAAGGGGTAGAGTGCCAGCTGTGAGCAAGCAAGCTAAGTAAGCATGAGGCTTTGAGTTCAAATTCTAATACCACAGGTCCCACCACTCCAGAAAAAAAAATGAGGGAATGGGATGACAAAGGAGAATGAATGAAAGAGTCATATGGCAGAAAGAGGAGCCAGAGAGATGGCAGAGCCTGGTTGCTCCCAGGGATCCACGTGTATGATTAGAAGTGAAAAAGTTAAGAGAAATCTGATTAGAGTACCTTCAGATTTAATTCCCACCTCCTGTTCCTTGATTCAACATGACCCACCAATTTAACCTCGAAGGAATAGGAAGCTTCTATTACATGAAAGCCAGCCTCCACCCTTACCATACTAGGTACTGTAAGGTATACAAAAAGCTACCATGACTTGCAGCCCATAGAGAAGTCATTTCACCAATCGGTAGCATTGGCAAAGATCAGAAATCATATAACATAAAGCCTAAGAGGATGCTTAGAGCACTGCAGACATGGTTCAGCAAAACAGAGAGTTCGAGGGAAGGGGTGACACTGTTCAAAAGGAAATGTACACTTTACCTGAGTTAACTGTAACTCTTCTGTATATCACCTTTATAATGACAATAAAAATACATTTTTAAATGGTTCAGCACTCTGGTGGAGCCTCAGTCAAGCCACAATAGACAGGGGGCCTGATTTGAGGAATTTCTGGATGTGTCAAGTCCTAAACCAGAAGGAAAAGAGGTGAAAGTGACTGGGCAGGGTTTAGAGGCCCAAATTCAACAGGGACTAGGTAAGCTGTACAAGAAGGACAACAGTGGCTTGAATTTTCAGGGAAGGAAATGTGTACGGGTTTGGTTCTGAGCTCAGAACTGATCTGGCTTTATTGTAGAATCAGAATTCTGGGATTAAAGGTAGAAAAATTGATACAAAATCACAATGGGAAATAAAGAAAAATCATGTAGTAGCTAATCTGAACTTCCACTGTAGCCCCTGAGTGAAGGCATGCAATGATTTAGGCATCCTTTAAAAAAAAAAAAAAAAGCATTTGCCACAGATAAATTTCCCACTCTAGTGATATCTCTCCTGCATTCTATATGGTACCAATATGCTCAAAAGAAACAATATCTCTTTACTTGAGAAAAATCTGTCCTTAAATCTTTCTGGATACTGGTGGCTCACGCCTGTAATCCTAGCTACTCAGAAGGCTGAGATCTGAGGATCATGGTTCAAAGTGAGCCCAGGTAAGAAAATCTGTGAGACTCTTATCTCCAATTAGCTACCAAAAAACCAGAAGTGGCACTGTGGATCAAGTGGTAGAGTGCTCACCTTGAGCTGAAGAGCTGAGGGACAGTGCCTATGCCGAGAGTTTAAGCCCTATGACCAACCAAAAAATAAAAAAATTCAATCTTAATTTGTAAATCCTTACTACAACTCATTTAATATACTGGAGCTGTCACCTGGATAAGGAATGATACTTCTGTTTATTGTAGTTAATGGTAAATTATTGTTAACATTGAATGCAATTTTATATTATATAAAACTTTAGTGGTTTTAGTGATTGTGTGTACATTGATCCTGGGGCTTGAACCCAGGGTAAGGTCACTGTATCTGAGCTTTTTTGCTCAAAACTGGCACTCTACCAATTGAGCCATAGCTCCACTTCTGGGTTGTTTGGGTAGTTAATTAGAGATAAGATCCCAAGGCCTTTCCTGCCTGGGCTAGCTTTAAACTGTGATTATCAGATCTCAGCCTTCCGGATAGCTAGGATTACAGGCAGGAGTCACCAGCACCTGGCTTAGTCATGTTTTAATGGAATCTAATGACACTACTTTGGATGGACGCTGCTTGGTATATCCCATTATTCATTTTCCTCTTAACTCTGCGCCAAAACACATAAAGAAGGTCCCAGATGTAGATCAACATATAACATGCTGGTGATGGATCAAGTCCAGCTGTGCTGTTTCCCAAGGTCCTTTTACCAACCCTTTTCACTTCATTTCAATCACTTACCAAGGTCCTATGGAGCATTTGCTGGTGTTGGTCTTCTGGAAGTTACAGAGGAGGTCATTTTCCTCGGGTTGTATACACATGCACATACATCGTTAGGATACCATTCAGTTAGCTCTCGAGGACAGATCCATGACAAGGCTATTGGAGAATGGAGAGGAAATTCTACTGGAGTAGACCAAGAAGATTTCATGGACAATAATTCATATAAACTTAACCTTGAAAGAGTTAGGACTTACACATTAATTCCTAACCCTTATATAGTGCTTACTAGATGCCAAGATACTCTCCTAAATATATTGAAAATAGTAACTCATTTAGGACTTACCACAGTGAAATGAATGCCATATGCACACTCATTTAACAGACATGGAAATGGAGGCTCAGAGAGGTTGGCTGACTTGCCCAGGGCCACACATTTGGGAAAGGGGCGAGTCTTGCATCAAACCTAGCACATTCCATGCTCATAACCCTTTGCTACACTGCTTCTTGGATGGGAAGAAATGGGATGATAGAAGGGTGATACAAGCTAGAAAAAGAATCAGTAGACCCAGGAATGCAACAACACCTGACCCCTCATGGATAGCAGTAATGATCTAGTACAGCTGGAGTATCAGATACATGAAGGCAAGTATTCCAAGAGTGGGCTGCAATAAATGATGTCAAGTCAAGTCATTGGGTACATGAGGGCAAGGGGTGTCATAGTGTTTGGAGAAAGTACAGCAGTAGCACTCACCCAACTCCTGACTAATTTTGTTAGTCAAGCAAGGAGGCATGCCCCTTGACCAAGGCCATAGAAGACAATGCTGCCTGTTTCCCAGAGGGCCTGGCAGAGCTCTACTGACTATCCACTGAGCTGTAAGGACAGTGCTCATTCAAGGGCAAGAATGGAAAATCCATCATGCTCCAGGCAGGAAATTCCACAGTGAAGGCCCCTTGAACTGCATCACTGGAGAAAGAGCCATCCGCCCATGTAAGGCAGGTCTCATTCCTGTTTTGTTTGTTTGGTGACTGAAGGTTGTTATTCCCCTGCTCTGCCTGTGTTTATGTCAGAGAAATGTTTGCCATCAGAAAACAAAGTCCAGGCAAGGCTTGTCAATGCAGCCAACTGTGGAGCCCTATTCTCAGGCATTTCCGGGCTTGCTGCCTCCTGATGGATTTCTCAGTTGAACTACATCAAAGATCTCCTTGTAGCTTCTCTCTCATCTTAAAGGGACTATGATGCTGAGAGGAAGCCATTTGATTCTAGAAGCAAAGCAACATCTAGGCTTGGCATCCTCACCTGTCTACAGCTTAGGTAACAAGCTGTTCACAGCCCTCAAGCAAACAGCCACCCAAGGCCCAGGGACTCAGCCATCTCTTTGGGGCACCAGGAATAAGAGCAGCATGGGGCAGCATTAAACATGGAATCAGATCTCAGAATTGAAAAGCAAGGCAGAGTAGGTAACACGTGTAGCCTCTAATAGGAGCATCCTTATTTTGCCAATGAAATAACTGGATGTCAGAAGAAAAGGAGGAAGATGATGAAGATACCCTAAAGAAGGGAAAGAAAGTAGGAGGTAGTGCAAAGATGAAGGCAAGAAAGAGAACAGAATGAGAGTTGGAGACCACGGGCTGCACAATGGCCTCTGTAAACTTCTAGTCAAGATCCTCTGGTGCTTTCCTTCTGACTGCTCCAAGGTCCTCACTTTGAGGGCTCAATATCTTGCCTGGGATTGACTGGCCTGTTAGTCTCTGTTACCAGCCAACACACAGCCAATCCATCCCACGTGGCTTGGGAAGGAGTGTGCCCACCCTATCCTTATCCTTCCTCTCCTTCCCAGTCCAACTGGAGCCTCACTTCTTCTATTGTCCTTCCTTCTTTGACAACACAAAGTTTAGGATGAAGAGTTTAACATTAGGCCAAGTACAGAATGGCTTATGGGTTTCCCTCCTATATGAACTACCAGAATCCACTATTCAGGGCAAAGGCCAAGTCCTTTCCTTTTCTCCTCTTCCCTTTGTTCTTCTCCTTTCTTTCAACAAGCCACTTCAAGTCTATCTGATGCTAGAGTCAGGTTCACCAACCCCATGCCATATCCTTGAATAAATAGAAGAGCTGGAATTACTATGACCAAGACTCTGTTAGTCCTATGCTCAAAGCAAAAGACATATGAAGTGGAAAGGTTTGAGATGCACCCTCTACTACACACACACACACACACACACACACACACACACACACACAGAGCTTCGAAACCTACTTGAGTACAGATGTTGCAACTCTCAGCAGGGAAGTGGCTGCATATCACAGACTTTTACATTTCCATAATCACTTTCTTTATATCCTGCTCCTCTTTATTGAATTTCATATGCCATGAAAGCGTAGGGCTTCGGGCTACGTTGACCACTTCTATGGTCCCAACACCAAGCAGTACCTGGCACATATGGGATGCTCCAGAAGAAGATGCATAGATAAATCCACTGATTTCAGTTACTTGAGAGCACTATGTGATGTATTTGCACCTGTAACGTGTTCTTGCCATTCCTTAGGGAAAGATATGATGTTTGGGAATGGGCTACATAGAATCCACTAAACTGACTGATCTGAGATCCTAACTTAAGAGCAAAGAAAAAACCTTGTAGACATGACTTCCCTGCTGAGATTGGCTACTGCTGTAATCACCACTCTCGAAGCAAGGCCTCAAGGACTGAGCTTCAGAACTTTGAGTCACATCCAAAACCAAAGAGAAATCTTGGCAGTGGCCAGAGCATTGTTTGTTTACCACAACTGTCCGTAAACAGGATCTAAACTGCAGGAGGAGTTGATGTAGCACTTCCTAAGTGACCTGGGTCAACAATCACCACAATAAAAATAGGGGAATTCCCCAAGTTAGTGCCTAATAATAGATTATTTCATACTCACCAGCTGTGTGACCTCAAGCAAGTTATTTGACCGTTCTGAGCCTCAGTGTCCTCATCTGTATAAATGGACATGATAGTGGTGAAGTATCTCTGCTTGTCCCAGGCAGGAGACCTACTAAATGTCAAAATACCACACATATAGAGAATTCCTTACTTTCCACACTGCCCAAAGGAGTTCTCTTCAGAATTAGATCTTAGTGAGTTGAACCTACTTAGTAGATAATCTCAGGTGTGCTTCCTACTCTTGTTCTGACCTTCAAAGACTTTGTTCTTCAAGGCTAGGACACAGTGTATGGCAAAGATTACACCCAAGAAATATTCTCTTATTACTGTATAGTTCCAGATTCCCTTGTAATTTAAGCCACATGACAAATTCTGTCCATGAGAGTGTCAATGGGAGTACTGTGTGTCATTTCTGGACTATAGCAGTAGATGGTATGCTCTTATGAAATGAATTGTATTCCCCTCCCCCAAACTCATGCTGAAGCAATGAACCTACTATGGCTACATTTGTGGCAAAGAAGCAATCAAGGTTAAATAAAATCATAAGGGTGGAGGTCCTGATTCAATAAGATTAGTCTCCTTATAAGAGGGGACCATCTCACTGCCCCATGTGAGGACACAGTGAGAGGTCAGGCACTTGTTAGCCAGAAAAGGAGTTTTCACTAGACATCTACTCTGCCAGTGCCTTGCCTATATTGTCCCCAGCATTCAGAGTTGAGGGGAACACATTCTGATCATTTAAACCTCTGGTCTTTGGTAGTTTGTTATGACAGCCTGGGCCAAGGAAGTCTGCCCTGCTACCCTGGAACTCTTAGCAGCTACTGGATTCAGTCAGCTTACCTGTCATCTACCCTGCACTAAGCTATGTGATTAAGAATCCTTTCCTGTGTTAGACCATGACACTATAGAGTTTCTATGTTACTGCAGCTTAACCCCACCTATCCTCACCAACGTACAGTTGGTAGACAAATATATATCACGTTTTTCTAACCAAGACTAAAAGTAGAAGAGTGCTTCTAGCAGTTTTCTTTGGACCCAACTTGTCTTCCAAGACTCAGTATGGATCCAGTGAGTTGTGGCTATTAAGATAGATGGAACCTTACTTCCTGAATTGTGGTATGTGGTAGTGACCATTTAAACTGCTGAAGGAATCCATTGAAGTTTCAAGTAAGAAAACAAGAGCTGTAGTTGGTATATTTTTTTAGTTAGGATATGCTTGGAAGTTAGGCTTTGTTTCTAGAAAGTTCCCATAGATATGTACACCACTTCCCTAGAAGGAGTCATATATTTATCCCGTGATAACCAAAAAGCACATTCTTCAGGGGTGGATCACAAAGTAGGAAGCAGACTTCTAAGCTTGGGCTATAGTTATCCCTTTGCCAACCCAGGAGGAGGTTTGAATTTCATCAGGAATAAGAGGCCCACGTCTCTACTTGAGCTTCCCTGTGGCATCTTTCTCCTTGGTGTGTCCCCCTTGGGCCATGCCACCTTCATGACCATCTTTTTAGACCATCCCAGAGAAAGGATGAATGTGAACTTTGAGGAATTTCTTTCTATAAAGAGAAAAGATATGCTTGGCTCTGTTTATCTATACTGATTGCTTTCATCTGAAGATGCCTCCTAATTTCTTTTCTACATTCAAGGCCTAGTTCAAGTTTACTCTCCTCTAAAAACCCTTCTCTTCTTTTTTTCACACGTTGTAATGTCTGCTGAACTTCTAATAATAGCTACAGCAAATAGTTATTGTATATTCTATGAGCCATGTCCTGTGCTATCTTATTTGCTTACATGATATTTTCTGGGCTCCTCCCAGAGCCAGAGGATGTTTGGTCATCATGTCTATATTAGAGGAAAGTGAAATTCAGACAAGGGAAGTGACTTATCCAAAGTCACACAGCTAGCATGGCACCCTGGTCTCAACTGGACCACAAAGCATTTCTGATTCCACCACAATGATCTTAACCGCTGTCCTCTACTGGCCCCTACAGGTCAGTCTATTACAGTCTCTTGGAATTACTCCATATACCCTACAAGGTCGTGGAAGGTAGAGATGGCTTCAGATGAATACTTAGCCTTTTCTCCTCTGAACAGGACTTTACAGTTAATATACAGTGAACACAAAAATCTCATCTAATCTTTACTATACTCTTGAGAGTTTGTGTTATCTGTAGTTTACAAGCACGGTAACTAAGCCTCAAAACACTCGTGACATCCAAGAGGCATGCATCCAGTTGAGTGACAATGAATTGCTCTTTCTCTGGTCCCATGTGCCTCTTATTGGGTCCTGTGAATCTCTTTGCTTTCTCCTGGAAACTTGGTATGCTAAGTTCATTTCCATCCAATTTAAAATAGGTCAATAAGGGACATTCATTTTACCTCCACTCGATAGGCATTGAAACTGAGGCATAAAAAGTTATACAACGGTCATTGAACAGTATGTAAGTGGGCCTTCTATAGACCTTAGAACTGGAAATTAGGCCTCAAAGCTAAGGACACATCCCATAGAGGACCAAGATATCCTATGGGCTTATTAAGAGACTCCCTACAGCAACCACCTTCCTGAAGGCAGTAGGAGGACATCATGGGATCAGGAGACTCTGGTCTAGTGGTGTGGATTCTCTCTCTCCAGGCCCCTAGCCAGGTGAAGGGTTCCAAAAGAATGCCATCAAGAACGTCAAGAGCTGGGGTGTGAAGAGCAAAGAATAGGATACCCTTGAACAGTAGGCATCTGCATGGGTGGCAGACTGGTGGCTCTGTCCTCAGTCTACATATGAGAACAAATTAAAGGGGAAGAGGAGATAGGGCTGGGAAAAATAAGTTCTAGTAGCCCAGAAAATAAGAGCAAGAATACACTAATGGAATGGTGTCAAATTAAGAAGTCTCTGCACAGCAAAAAAACATTTACCAGAATCAAGAGAAAACCCACAGAATGGGAGAAAATCTTTGAACAGATATTGAATGGATAAAGGATTCATATCAATAATATACAAAAGACCTCAACATCTTAAACAGCGAAAGAACAAATAATCCAATGGTGAATGAACTGGACAGTTCTTAAAAGGAGGAATATTAATGGTATGAGGTACAGAGGCCCAGTTCTGTCTTCATAGGTACTTAGGAGGCTGAGATAGGGGAATATGTCAACCTAAGTAAAAAGAAGTTCATGAGACTCCAACTCAATCAAGGGCTGGGTGTGGCAGTGCATGTCTGTCATCCCCAGCAACACAGGAAAACACAGAATGAGGATAACAGCCCAGGTCCACTTGGGCATTAAGTGAGATCCTGCTTCAAAAAGTAACTAATAAAGGAGACTGCATATATATAGCTCAAGTGGTAGAGTACTTGCCCAGCAAGTATTACGCCCTGAGTTCAATCTCAAGTACCACACCCCACTGTACAAATGGCTAATATGTGAAGAAATGGTCAACATCTTTAGTCATAAAAGGAATGCAACCCAAAATGACAGTGATAGTCCATTTTCTCCAGTGGGAAATGTCCACTATGAAGAATACAATAACAAATGCTGGTAATGATAGAGAGGAGAGGAACCCTCCCTCATACATTGTTGATGGGAATGTAAACTAGTACAACCACATGGAAATCAGTATGGAATTTTCTCAAAAAAAACCCTCTAAAAATAGATATACTTTATGTTCCCATCCTACCACCTTGAGCATATCTTCTAAGCAATGTAAATTAATTATGAAAGAAAAGCACCTGCCAGCTCAGGCAAGAAAGTCCATGAGACTCTTATCTCCAAGTAACCACCAGAAAACCAGAAGTGGTTTGGTGGCTCATGAACTGAAGAGTTTAGGGACAGTGCCCAGGTCCAGAGTTCAAATTCTATAACCACCAAAAATAAAGAAGGAAAGAAGGAAGGAAGGAAGGAAGGAAGGAAAGAGAGAGAAAGAAAGACAGAAAGGAAGGAAGGAAGGAAGGAAGACAGACACCTACATATCCTTGTTCATTACAGCTAAGTTCACAATAGCCAAACTGTGGAATCATACAAGGCACCCAAGAACTCCGGAATGAACAAAGAAAATATGGCATATATATACCATGGAAAACTACTCAGCTATAAAGAAAAATTAAATCATGTCATTTGCAGGAAAATGGAGCAAATCATCATGTTGATTAAGATAAGCCAAGCTCAGCAAGATCAATAGAAAGCCCACGGATTGGGAGAAGATCTTTACTAGCCATACAACGGACAAGGGTCTCATATCTAAAATATACTTGGAACTCAAAAAATTAAACCACCCAACAACAAATCCTCAAAGAAACAACTGCCCAATAAATAAGTGGGCGAAAGACTTAAAGAGAAGCTTCTCTGAAGAAGAAAGAAGGATGGCCAATAGACACATGAAGAAATGTTCAACATCCCTAGCCATAAAAGAAATGCAAATCAAAACAACATTGAGATATCACCTCACTCCAGTTAGAACAGCAAAAATCAAGAACTCTAACAACAACAGATGCTGGAGGGGATGTGGACAGAAAGGAACCTTACTTCATTGTTGGTGGGAATGTAAACTTGTTCAACCACTTTGGAAAGCAGTATGGAGGTTCCTCAAAAGACTTCACATAGAACTCCCCTATGACCCAGCAATCCCACTTTTGGGCATTTACCCAAATGTTTACAAACAAGACCACACTAAAGCTACCAGCACAACTATGTTTATTGCAGCATTATTTACCATAGCTAAGATATGGAACCAACCCAGATGCCCCTCAATAGATGAATGGATCAAGAAAATGTGGTATATATACACAATGGAATTCTATGCCTCCATCAGAAAGAATGACATTTCCCCATTTGTTAGGAAATGGAAAGGCTTGGAAAAAATTATATTAAGTGAAGTAAGCCAGGCCCAAAGAAACATAGGTCCCATGGTTTCCCTTATTTGCAATATCTAGTATAGGTATGAGTCAAGCGGAAAAGGTCAGATAATGTGATGTTAGGAAAACGAACCCTTAAATATGTATTTTAATGTTTTTGTTTCTTTCATGCATGTGTTTCTAACGCATTTATAAGGTTATTTCTTTGTTGCTTTGTATGTCCCTCCCCCACAGTGTAACCCCCGCTT